ACATCCTCTGCCTTCTTGAAACCCTTCTTCTAGGCCTCCTTGGCGTCCTCCTTCGCCTGGGTTATTTCGGCGTCTTTCTTTTTTTCAAGGTTTACCAGCTCATGCAGGTACTTATCCTTCAGAACAATGGCAGTCTTTTGCTTTTCGGCTTCGGCCGAACTAACTAGTCCAGTCAGTCTGCCGACCTCCCCGCGTAGCTCGGCCATTTCCTTTCTGGCATCTTCCAGCTCGGCCGTTTTTGCCTCAGCTTCCGCCATTGCTTGCCTTGTGGTTTTTCTAAGCTCTTGGACTTTCTTGTAAGTTATGTTGTTTTTCTGTAAGGCCTGGCAACACGAAGATTTCCCTTAAGCCGAAGTAAATGTCGGAAAAATTAGCCAGAAAAAACGGACAGAACTACTTACCAAAATCATGGACTTCGATGAAGACCGAATGGACTTCAATTCGGTGTTTAGTTGCTTTAGGTGGTGCTCCATGTCTTTAGGGAGGCACACACTCTTGGCCAGGTTGAAGGCCAATTGATGATCTTTTTCAGCAACAACCGAATCAGAGTCTTTGATATCTCGGTCGCTGAAGGTTAGTTGCGGAGCCCATTTGGAAGATTCCGCTCGGTCAGTTTGCTCCGGTTGAAGGGTAGGTTGAGGACTTTGGGGGATGGATTCAACCTCATCGACAAGTTGCTGTTCGGTCGATGTAGATCGGGCGCGTTTTGAAGGGCGAGATGAAGAAGGCTGTTGAGAAGGGAGGGCCACAACGGCAGGCTGCGTTTGGATTGTTGGTGGTACTTCGGCCCTGGTTGTCGCGGTCAGAAGGGCCCTAACTCTGCTTTTCTTTGCCATCTTTTCTTCAGCGGTTAGTGGGACAAGTCGTATTTCGGGCAAGGTAGGGTCCGGTTCAGGTGCGTCTTCAAGAAGGAAGTCGGTCACTCGGGCTTTTCGGTGACCGCTATATCGGTAGGTCGGCTCGAATTGCAGCAACTTGGCCCAGCTACGTTCAGGATACCGTAGTGCGGCTCGCAACACTGCAAGATTTGGATAACTGTACAAGGAATGAAGGTGAGCAGAATCTGCGAAAATAGAGACAACTGTTAGTTCGGTTGATGGACTAGCAAAACCGAAATAAAAAATTGCAAGGAACAAGACCGAAGTTAAATTACCGGGCTCCCTTTTTTTCCAATTTATAGGTCGGCCAGGAATTTGGGCTTGAAAATCCTCAAAATTCCCAGAGACCCAGAAAAAGTCGTCGTCATTTACATCTTTGTCCGGTGTGTGTTTAATTATCTTCTCTCGGCGGCGGCGTATCCTAAGGTAGTAGACCCACCCATCTTCTTTTGAGCCGATGGAGTATTGATGGAATATTTCGGCCAGGCCAAGATTTAGTCCGGCTTGGCGGTTTAGTTCGGCTATTCCCATGATGATGCGATACGTATTGGTGGACAGTTGGGTAGGGCATAATCTGGTCTGCCTAAGAAATTCACAGATCAACGGTTGAACCGGAAACCGTAGCCCGGTTTCTATAATGAATAAAAGGGTGAAGGGGACGAAGCCTTCGTTGTCCCAGGGAATGACGTCTTTTTCGGCCAGAATCAGCTGGACGTCGTCAGGTATTTGGTAGTCTTTCCTGAATTCGGCTAGGCCACCCGGAGTATTTACTAGGTATCTATACTTCCCCATCTACCGTATAATTTAAGAATAAGTTATTTTGGTGCAAATGTTATGCACAGTAGCTCGGTTGAGCGCACGCAGGAGTGCCTGGGCAACCTAAGTCTGCAAAGTAGAAAACACGGGTTAAGCACAGACCATTGGACCGTGCTACAAATTAAAAGCAAGGTATAAGAGCCCTACTTCGGCCTTCTGGACTGGTTCTACCTTGGTTCATCAAAAGGTTTGATAGCTCGGTTTGAGCGGGTTGCGTATTAGACCGGTTCATCGTCTGGGGACAGCTTTCTTAGTTCGGTCTAAAAACTAAAAAAGCTGGCATAGCCCCAAGGCCTAAATCGGTTAAGCTATGTGTTTTGTTACTTCGGTTGAGCCTCTAGTGGCAGCTTTCGGAGTTTGATATAGAAACTGAGAAAGCTGGCTTAGCCCCAAAGGCTTAGCTCGGTTAAAGACTGAGGTTCCTAGTTTATTGCATTCAAACTTCGTCCGGTGATCTTATTTCGGCTAAGTTGAATCAGAAGTTTATTTTTCGAAGCTACTGTCATCTCTACAAGTTTTAGTTCGGTGATCTTATTTCGGCTAAGTTGAATCAGAAGTTTATTTTTCGGAGCTGCTGTCATCCTTACAAGTTTTAGTTCGGTTAGTTGTCTAAGGCGATCTACCGATATAGCACAAAAACAGTATCCTAGTTCAGTTGGGACAAGATTTTGGATCAGAGACTAATTTTCTACAACACAGTTCATACACGTATAAGTTCTATTGTTTTTTCATGAAAGTACAAAAGCAAAGCAACAATGGAAGAAAATGTTTTGCAAAAAATACGGTAAACAAAATACATAGAACAGATACGAAAGCAAACAAAGGAAGCAAAATGAGTTTACTTACGAAGTTGAAGAAGAGGGATCTGGAGATGGGAAAGTAGCAGCAAAATCAGTCTTCAGAAGCAACGGAAGAACAGCAAGAGCACAGAGAGAGAAGATGAAGAATGGAAGGTGAATGATTCAAGAATAGAAAGGTTGTTTTGTGAAAGGGAAGAGAGAAAAAGCAGCAAAAAGGGGCGGGACTGTTCAAAAATTTCGAAGTACGAGGGCGGCGTGATAACAGCTCACAGCCTATCAGAACCTGCCACGTGTCATTAGAAAGTGAAGCGTTACAGTCATGATTGAAGAGACGTTTTGACCGAACAAAACAGAGCCCGGGGTAAAATTAGCTCGGTTGGATAGGCTAAAGGGTTTTTTAGCTCGGCTGGAAAGGCTTAAAGAACTTCAGCTCGGTTGGAAGACTTGTAATCCCAATCATGCTGTGCAGATGGGATTAAGGGGCAATTGAGAGGGTAATTTTTGGGAAAAATTGGGCCGAGCTGTGAGTTGGGCTTTGTGGCCCAAAGTACGAAGGACTGAATAAAAAGGCCGTAATGATTACTCTGGCCCAATAAAAATGTAAAAGTTTACTCCGGCCCAGGAGAGGCAAGGTTACTCCGGCCTAGGAAAGACAAAGTTACTCCGGCCAAGGAGGTAAAGTTACTTCGGCTCAGGGACTGTAAAGATACTTCGATCCAGAACGATTTGGAGTTATGTCGGTCTTGGAGTCATACCGGCCGAAAATCATTGGTTCGGTCTAAGCCCGTACCATGGGTTCTACACGGAAAGCCGAGATAAGAAAGGATAAACGTAAGAACCGAACTAAGAATAGTTCGGCCTACTCAGTGGCTCTGCATAGCCAAGCTTATTTCGGTCATATCGTAGTTCGGCCAAAGTAAAAACCATCCCACTTGGTTGAAGCAGTAGGGGGGTGTAAAAGGATAAGCATTATCCTTAGGAGTATGAATCCTAGGAGGACTCTGCATGGAGGAATAGAAGTCCTACTAGGATTGTGCCATTCGAAACATATAAAAGCTCACAAACATCACCTTGGAGGAGGTAACAGAACACAACACAATTTTGCTTTCTGAGAACATAGAGCTTTGTTTATTTGTCAAGCCCACTGACTTAGGCATCGGAGAGGTTTCCGGCACACACCCGCCGGCTAGCTCACGTTTGTGTTTTCAGGTGATAAAGCGACGTCGTACGGAGGAGCATGGACTCGGTCAACAGGATTATACGAGGAGAATTATTTCTTCCCCGTACAATACGATAGATTTTTAGATGTCATGCTGATACTTTTGCCATTACATTACAATAGATTTTGTAAAAGTTTATCAAGAAAGTACAAAAAATATTTGGGAGTGCTAATTGAGTATTCTTAATTCACCCTTAATGACGTGAAATGGATTTCACTCCTCACTTTTCATCATTCATCTCTCTATCTTTTTCTATTTTCTCTCACCTCATTATAGATCAAAATATAAGTGATATATTAGGAGATGTAGCACCACTCAAAAAATAAACTGCGTTTTAATCATTTCATCACCCGTTTTGCATTTTCCGTATGCTGCTAAAATTGTTTGGCATAAGATTTGCAAATCATTAAACCGAATTTTAGCTTACCAATTCACTAACTCTGTAAACGGAGTGAATACTTTTATTTGTTATCATTTCCGGTTTTTTGTTTTTATTTTCTTGGAGAACTGTTTCTAAAAACTAGCAAATAGGAAACCTCACTACTTAGGAAATATCTAAGTTTTTTTTTTGCACAAAAATGAAAAGCAACCCAATTCTTAGGAAATATCTAAAAAGTTGTTTTTCCACAAAAATGAAATTAATATGAAAATGATGGCTATTTTTTATTTTTTTTTTATTTTTGTTTTCTACAAAAAAAAATAAAAAAATTACATCCAACAGCTATTATATCCTGACAGAGGTGCATTTTGGTTCCATCCATGAATTTTTTTTTTTACCGGACTTGCAATTGAGTCCAACAGCTATTACATTTTGTTTGACAATTTTTTTTTTTTTTACATCCAACAGCTATTATATCCTGAATTTTTTTTTACCGGACTTGCATTTTGGTTCCATCGATGCCATGATCAAACCAAGGATTATTTATTGATTGATGACAAAATAAAATTCATTTCAGCAGTCTTGACATTGTCATAATCGCCTCGGTTCAAACACAATTCTAATCTGATTAACAAAAAAGCCTTTGCAAGTACTTTTACACTGTATACAAAAAAAAATAACCAAATGATGAATGAAAAGCAGAGAAATTTGAGTAAATAAACTTACACTAATCCATATTTGACAGTTTCTTTGAATTTACTCCTACTGAACATATATGCATAAGGAGTTTTCTTATCCGAATTACTCCTAGCATTTTGCTTCTTGTTGGTATGAGCTAATTTGCAACCTTTCCTGGCAATGATGTGGTGAAAAAATAGCCCATTTTGTCGATCTGCAATAATGAAATTCATGGAAATTCTTCTAAATTCTTCACTTTTGAGGCATTAAGTTTGTCAAAATCACACCTTTCAATTTCAATCCGGTAATCACATCTTCCCTCTTGATCTATCCGACATGCCTTTTGGCAGCTCTTGAAGAACACACAACTCACAATGGTGTCAATGACAACAATGATCGAATACAAGTAAGCGATTAAAAACCCTTCCATAGCCATAGAAGAAAATGAACTTTTAGCCCCGTAAAAAGCTCTCACAACTCGGTATTGAAACAAGGCCTCAACTGCCGAGAGGGCAATATTGACCGGTACTGCCAGTGCCAGAGCTGTCCCGGTTCTTCCACGAATCAAAAGACAAGCCTTGAGAAGTGCTAGATAGCCTCCACACTTGTCCATACCCGATGAAACCGACGCTAAATTGCATATTATGAGGGTGTTGGCAAGGACTATGGAGTATACAATAGCCCCAGTGGCGGAGAGGAGGTGGAGGGAGGTGGAGGAGTAGTATCCAGAACCTTCTAGAGTGTTAAAGGCAATAAAAAGAGAGAAAAAGCAAGTTGCATTGGCAGAGAGGATGACAAGGGAGTTGCATAATTGGGTGAGAAGGATAGGATTGTAAATTGACAAAAAAAAAAGATAAAGAAGATGGTTTGTTGTGGTAATGGTGATTGAAAGCGGTTTGAAAACTTTTGTAAAAGTGTTGGTTGCTTGATTTTCCCGCTCGATGCTTGCTCGAGCGTAAGAGACATGCCCTCGCTCGAGCTCAACTTTTGCTGCTCGAGTGGACTGCAAAAGATAAGAACTTCTGGGAGCTTGTATTTCACGCTTGAGCGGACTTCTGGTCGCTCAAGCGGGAGTACGCGCACTCAGAGTGGTCGCTCGAGTGTGGATTACTTCGCTTGAGCGAAAGTGCAAAATCTGGAATTTCCAAATTACACTCCTTAGCTCAAAACTCGAATCTAACTCATCAAAACACAACTTTTGGCCCCCAAAACTTGAGAAAACAAGTTGAGACTTTGAAAACATTAAGAATTAAAGATCATTTCACAAAATCAAGGCCCAAAAGTAAATCAATTGTGCAAAAATTCAACTTGAAATGTAAGAACATGATATGAACATGACATGCATGTATTCAC